GTTTTGGCCCTCTGTTTTTTCCCTCCACACTAGTCAAAATAGGAAACTTACGATAATGTCCAAAAAAGAAGTCTAGCTGTCAGACAAATTGGATCTTCACTTTACCTGCAACATAAATAACTAATCTACGAGTTCATAATTGGTTGATAGATAGTCAAATTTTGGACACACAAGTAACTGTGCAAAGAAAAGTCAGTTGATAGATAGTCAAATTTACGACAGCACTTGATGGACTAAATTATCTAAGTTTATGGATGAGGAGCCATGTGGATCAGTTGCATTTTCTGCTAGTTTCTTCCACTCCTTAGCCTACCTTTGCAATTTCTTATCCTTCTCTCCCTCCATCAACTCTCTAACAAGCATCTCCACTTCATCTCTCTTGACATTGTTATCAATCTCCATGCCACTGCCCAATTCATTGCAAGTATAATAACAATTGGTTCTCTGGTCTTCAAAGAATGGCCAGCAGATCATGGGCACTCTTGTAGTCAGACTCTAGGACCAATTTACCAAAAACAAGATCAATTTGCCAAAAACAACAAGGCCTAAACCCTAGGACCAATTAACCAACAACAAAAACCATCTAATCCATCACAAAATGCTAATCTAACAACCCTATACCTTAATGATCCCTTTCTTCATTATGCTTCATCTACACCATTTGATCTTGCAGTTGAAGCATCAGTTGACATGAAGTTGAGGCTAGTGGTGCTTTAAAAGTATCAGCTCCTTTCTTGCTTGGCTTTAGATGAAATATATTAAGTATTGAGGATGTTAAGACAGGACTTGGAATCAAGGAAATTGAAACCTCAGGGCCATTTCGATACAAATCCTAAACCTCAATAGAGTGAAATGTCGTTAGTGAAAATGGTACTTAGGTGACGAGGGGTAAACTTAATCACACAAACAAGACACAACAACACAGCAAGCTTCACACACTTTAAACCTAGACCAAATACACATATGACTAGTCAACTACTAGTCAAGAAACAATCACAACCAATAGAATGCACAGAGCATGCCACAATGTACCTGCAATCCTAGAAGATTACTAGTGACAACCTAGGCACTCAGAAGGACCCGTCAATCTAGGCATCCCCTGTGCTAGCAACAACTATGGTGAAAGTGTGTGAAATCATCATTATCATGTAATCATCAAACAGCAGATACAGATGACTAGTCAACCACCAAGAACACAAACCCAGAAAAATTACAGATATGCAAAACAGATTTTGTTCACCCAGAAACCCACCATTGGGAAAAACTGGGAGTCATCAACCGACCAGGCATTCCACTAAGTAGAAAAAGATTCTTACAAAGGAAACACAACCAAGCTCAAGAAGCACCTAGGTCTATTTAGGAATATGAGCAATACCTCCTTTGTGCAATCTTCTTCTCCAACTTAGCAAAGCTTGAAGCTCAGTCCTTCATGGCAATGGCAGCTCCTTCTCCAGCTCGTTCATCCCATGGCACTAGCTTGCAAGCTCCAACACAAACCGAAACCAATTTGGATTCAAAGGAGAAAGACCAATTTCTTCAAGAAACCATACTCTTGAAGAAATCAATCTTGAATCCGACCTAGATATAAATGATAGAATGATTTAAATAGCTAGATGCAGATTTGTGTTTCAAATGCAGTTTTTCAAAAAGAAATCAATTGGAAAAACTCATAGATGAAATAATGGTTCTCTCGTGGAAGGAGAAGCGAAAGATGGCAAGCCAAACTTTCCAAAACTTCCACCCGAAAAGAGACAACCCCAAATGAGAAATCTCGTGGGCTATACAGACCAACAAAATCGTTAGGTCAGGAGACCCACTTGGCAGCAGAGAGAGAGAAAGAAGAATAGGACAAAACAGTTTGTTATCTAGCTGGAGGCAAGGATGACTAGTCATATGAGAAACGGTTGACTAGTCATCTTTTTATGAAGACTGTTTTATGAAATGATATGCAATGCTCAATACCTTTGTCAACTTGCTTGAGCCACCATAGAGCAGAGATTAGAGAAGAGCACTAATAAAAGTTTTCCCTAATCTAGACTTGAGCTTGATAAATTACATTACACAACCTATTACAAAGTTGTCAAGGGAAGCCAAAAGAAAATAGTAAAAACCATACATTAACAGTTAGTCCAAAAGGAAATTATCATTCACCTTTATAATAAACAATCTATTATAATTACCTTTATGGAGGCACGTGGGTCCTTATTTTAGGAGGTGGTAAGGCCAACATGACAACATATCAACAATATTTATTATATAAAAAAAGTATTTATCCTTATTATAAAAATGCATCAAACAGGCTCCAAAGTTGCATCACATGTATTCTAGTCAATCTAATGGTTGGTTTTGTGCAGAGATGGCCTTATTTTAAATAGAGGGTTGGGCTAATATTTGATTTACCTAGTTTGGGCTTGGACAACTGCATAAGTTTGTATATTCTAAAAATTTAGCACTGGGCTGGAGTGGCATGTAGATTTGCCCTTGTTTTCGCATCGAATACTAGTGAACCATAATTTGCTCCTAATTACAAAACCTAACACAATCCTCAACAAGCAAATTAAGAATAGACTGGTGTGGCCAACGAGGTCTAGCACAATTGAAAAGGGTTTTGATATGCAGACCAATGATCTCAAGTTCAAATCCCCATGGCACTTTGGTAGTGTATGTTTTGAGAAACTCCCTCCCCTTCGTAGTTTAGATTATCGCTTATATTAAAAATAAAATAAAAAAGACTGGGGATGACAAGTTTCCTAGGAGCCAAATCAATAGTAAGGCCATCTCCAGCCGTAGGGCTAAATGTAGTCCAGGGCTAAAAATTTAAACCCCCAAAATATTAATTTTTTAAAGAATAGTGCAGGGCTTCAACCATATATTGTTTAATTTAATTAAACTACTATTCTAAAAAAATAAATAAAGCCAACAAAGGCAATTAAAAACAAATAAATTGGAAGGGTTTCAAGGGTCTGACCTTCAACAGTCATGACCCATAATTTTTTATAATTTTTTTAAACAATACCAAACACTTAAAAATGTGACGGCAAAAAAAAAAGGATGGGTTTCAATGTTTGATCTCCAATTGTCATGAACAAGACTTTTTTATAATTGTTTTTAAACAACACTTGAAAAGATTTGAAAAGCTGACCACATTTATTATTATTATTATTTTTTTTATAAAGGGAGTGGGTAGGTCTGACCTCCAATGTCATTGACAACAATTTTTTATACTTTCTTCTTAAACACTACAAATTGAAACATTCAAAAGGCTTTTAAAAATCTATATATATCAATGTTGGCTGTTGAAAAGCACATACATAGGCCCCACTACAAATTTGGCTAGATTGGAGGGTTAAAGGGTCAAATTTGGTAAAAATTTTGTTTAGCCCATAACTGGAGATGAGTTTTGCATTATTTTAGGGCTATATTTGGGATATAGCTCGTAGCTGGAGATGGCCTAAGGACCTTCTAATTCTGTCCACCAAAAAAAAAGAGACCTTACTTTTGAACCCAAAAAAAAATATTCAATGGTAAGGCCCAGGTTAGCCATACCACCATCATCAAATTAATGTTGCTCAACACAGGCCGAAAGCTAAACATATGGCACGCTTAGAATCAAACTCAATTTCCACACACAAAATAAAAGCCACCGTTTTTTTCCCAGGTCATCTGCGCTTCCCTTAGAACCTCAGTTTTTTAATTGCTGTTTCTTCCACTTCCACTGCTCTTTTTTTTTCTTTTTTCTTTTTAATCCTTCCTGAGGTGAAGAAACTGTTGAAGAGAATATGACACATGCAGAATTGCAGATAAGCATTGAGGCATTGAGGGCAGCCAAAATAGGAGATCAAAGAAGAATGTCAAAAAAAGAAGCTCAGCAGTCAAACATATTAAGGTAATAAGGAAAGACGAGGAAACAAAGTTGGATTTTCTCTTTTCTTTAATCTATTGGGTTAGTGCACAATTGCCTGACGAATGATGAGACTTTAGAGTTGAAGGCTTGAAGCATAGTGAAACCTTAATCAGAATAAAATTCTAGATAAAGTAACAGGTTACAGATTGTCTAAATATTCTTATGGAAATGATAATTAACATCAATATTCTTATGGAAACATCTTTAACTTTATCTCAATAGCACTTGATTCACTAAATTGTCTAAGTTTGTGGATGAAGAACCATGTGGACCAGTAGCTTCTTCTGCAAGTTTCTTCCATTCCTTGACCCTATTTTTCATCTTCTTACCCTTCGCTCCCTCCATTAACTCTTTGACAAGCCTCTCTACCTCATCCCTCTTCACATCGTTACTAATCTCCATGCTAATGCCCCATTCATTGCAACTATAGAGACAGTTCATTTGCTGTTCTGCGAAGAATGGCCAACAGAGCATAGGAACTCCAGCAGTAAGGCTCTCAACCGTTGAATTCCAACCGCTGTGTGTTAGGAATCCTCCAACTGATTGGTGGTTAAGGACTTGCTCTTGTGGGCACCACCCAGCTATTAGACTTCTTTCCTTAGTTTCAGCCACAAACTCAGGCGGCAAAAGAGCAGATTCTCCAATAACTAGATCAGGTCTAATTACCCAAAAGAATGGAAGCTTGCTATTTGCAAGTCCCCACCCAAACTCTACAAGCCTTTCTGGTGTCATGACTGCTATACTGCCGAAATGCACATAGACAACTGAGTTTGGTGCCTTGGTGTTTAGCCACTCGAGGCATTCAGTTTCTTCTTTCCATAGACTGTATCCCATTTTCAAAGGGTGTTCTGGTATGTGATTGAGATGCAATTGAAGAGGGCCAACGGTGTACACATGGGGAAGCATAGATGAGAGAGCATCCAAAACATCTGCCTCCAAGGCATCAAAAGTATGAAGAACAACTGCGGAAGCTTCATGAGCTCTATCGGTTGCTTCCATGATGAAGTTTTAAATACGATGTCATCCGGATTTGTGGTTTGCAAGAAGGTCGGGAGATCCCTCAAACGGATATCTCTCATTCCCGGGATCCAATCTATTACGGTGTCCAGATAGCCATTTGTGAAACAGCTCTCATCTGCAATAGACAATTGAAGAAACATTTCATTTTGCATATTTACAAACAAGCAGTTAAGAGTTAACCATAAGTTAAACAACAAGTGCTTCAATTAATAGTTATGTATTTCACCTTTGAGTGGAGCAAGTCCATTTCGACCACGGCGCGAAGTTGTTTACATCCCATGAAGCTGCAGGCAGCTATAGTGTAGAACAGCGCTATAGGGACTCCGATTTCTTCAGCAGCTGTGATTGTGAACGTGGACATGAAACCATCTGAAACTATGCAAGTCACAGGAGGATTGGTGGATATTGATATGGCATCATTGTTGAGTTTTGCAAGGAGGGCAAGAAAGGGAGCCAAGAAATTTTGTTTTCTGACGGATGCACAAAGCAAGGTGACATCTTGTGTGGCATCTTCATCTGAATCCGGAAGGCTATCCGGGATGGCTTCGAATTGAAAATCAGGCAAGCCATCAAGGGCATTGGGTCCTAGAGATTTAAGAAAGCGCTTGTGATTGAACTCTGTGTTAACAAAGGTTATATGAAAACCTCTGTGGTGGAGGAGCTTTGCAAATTTAAGCATTGCCTTTATATGACTTTGAGCAGGAACTGGAATGCAAACAGCATGTGGCTTAGTAGCTACTTCTGTGGAACCCATCTTAGCTTTTGTGTGTGTATTGCAGTGCTTGCAAATGCAGTTTATTTATACAACAAAAGTTAGGTATGTCCGTCAGAATAGCTACTATTTTTATCTTTTATTTTTATATTTTAAGAATATTGCAAGCTGCAACCATAGTCATAAGTAGGAGAAAGACTTTTATGAAACAGGGATAGCAAAATAGTGTTATCCCGTTGCACCGAAGTTTTTCTCCGTAAGTAGACTAATAGAACTGTGTTTTAGTTTAATAAAATTATCATTAATTTGAAGTGTTTTAGTCATAAAATAGTTTGATTATAACTGGGTTGAAGTGGAAACAGGGACGGACCTTTAGTTTGGCAAACTTGGGCTATAGCCCAGGTGGCTTCTTTTTTCCAGCCAAAAAAATAAAATCCTAGCTCACCCAGGGACGTACCTTTAGTTTGGCAAACCTGGTAGCCTGGGTGGCTTATTTTTTCCAGCTTTTTTCCAGGCAAAAAAATAAAATCTTAGCTCAACCAAGGATGGACCTTTAGTTTGGCAAACTTGGGCTATAGCCCAGGTGGCTTCTTTTTTCCAGCCAAAAAAATAAAATCCTAGCTCACCCAATTTAAATAACCTAACCTCATTTAGTTCTTGGGGAGAGAGAGAGAGGGAGAAGGAAAGAAAAAGAGAGGGGGGGAGGGGGGAGAGGAGAGGGAACTCACACACAGCACAACAAAAGAAAAAAAGAGAAAAAATAAAAAAAGAAAAAGAAAAAAAAAAGAAAAGAAGCACCACCCTACCCTTGCATGTAGAGAAAAAAAAAACACAGTCCTTCGAGACTTAATTCAAGTGAACCAAGTTCCTATATTCATCATGTAAGCTTCTCTCAATTTCTTGATGCTTTAATTTGAGGATTTTTTTAGAATTTATGAAGTATCAATTAGGATTTGCAATTGACACTTATGAATTATCAATTAGGATTTGCAATTGGGGCATCAGTTTCAGTTTATGAGTTATGAATTATCAAATAGGATTTGTAATTGATTTTATTGTTCTTGCTGGTTTTATTTTTTATTTTTTGGTTATCAATGAAATCACATGGCATTGTTGAGTTTTCTATATGCTTAGTACCTAAATTTAGCCCACCCCATTTTAAAATCATGGATCCGTCCTTGAGTGGAAACGGTCGAAGGTCAATAATCATCAACAGCGAAGATGAAAACAAAAAGTGGTGAAGTTGAAGGGACGTGGTAGAGGAGAGTTTGTAGTATGGGTTTATTTATTTATTTTTTTGTTGGGAAGGTTCACACGATTAAGACTGGGTTAAGTGGTGTTAAATAGGTGTCAAAATTCTAAATAAGATCCCATTTATGGGCTTGTAAAAAGTCCTATTATTAATTACATATGGTGCTATATACTTGAAACGCATGCTTCACTTATAATCTATAAAATGATTAGGCTTTTAAAAATTAATATATTCATTGTACATATAAGTGGTAATATATCCATGCTTGGAGTAAATACTAAACCTACATATTAGTTTGTATGGGTTAATCGTTTTATTAGTCCTTGAATTTAGACCCAATTTGCATTTGAGTCCCTTAATTTCCAAAATCGTTCCTGAAGTCCATTAACTTCATTTTCGTTAGGACAAATGGTTCTGCCTTCAATTTTGTTAATTTTTCTGTTAAATGCAGGGGCAAAATGGTATTTTTGTATTAATTAAAATATGAATAAAAAATTAAAATTAAACTTTCTCTCTCCCCCTCTATCCCGATTTTTACTCTCACCAAACTTGATTTTTCTATTTTTTTTTGTTGGATTTTTATTAGATTAGATTTTATTGTTATTTTAAAGATATGATTATTTATTTATTTATTAATATAAAAAAAACCATTTTGCCCTTGCATTTAACAGAAAGAGTTACCAAAATTGACGGTAAGACCATTTGTCCTAACGAAAATGAAGTTAAAGGACCACGGGCACGATTTTGGAAATTGAGGGACTCAAATGCAAATCGGGTCTAAATTCAAGGACTAATAAAACGATTAACCCTAGTTTGTATTATCATAAAAATCAAAATTTTTTTTTTTTTTTTTTTTTTTTTTTTTTTTTTTTTTTTTTTTTTTTTTTTTTTTTTTTTTTTTTTTTTTTTTTTTTTTTTTTTTTTTTTTTTTTTTTTTTTTTTTTTTTTTTTTTTTTTTTTTTTTTTTTTTTTTTTTTTTTTTTTTTTTTTTTTTTTTTTTTTTTTTTTTTTTTTTTTTTTTTTTTTTTTTTTTTTTTTTTTTTTTTTTTTTTTTTTTTTTTTTTTTTTTTTTTTTTTTTTTTTTTTTTTTTTTTTTTTTTTTTTTTTTTTTTTTTTTTTTTTTTTTTTTTTTTTTTTTTTTTTTTTTTTTTTTTTTTTTTTTTTTTTTTTTTTTTTTTTTTTTTTTTTTTTTTTTTTTTTTTTTTTTTTTTTTTTTTTTTTTTTTTTTTTTGACTTAGTCAGTTACCACGTAATAGGTTTGTTAAACGTGGGCTGTTCTTTCATTCTTAGGTTACTCTTTGTAAGGCTATTTAAACAGCCGTCACTACTATTATCGATTGATCAATTTTTCTTCTAAATACTTGCTATCAGAAAAGCTCTTGTTTCCAACACGTGGAAGACAGCGATGGGAAGGAGAAGACTGAAACAAGGAGAAAATCTCGTGTCAAACTGTCTAGCAAACTATGATATATTGATTAGGTTTTATTCTTACATAAAAACACAGTCAGCTGGCATCTCATGTGCATAAAATCTCTGTACTATTTATATAGATGTTTCATTCACCTTTGAGTGGGGCAAGTCCTTTTTCCATCAAAGTGCGATACTGTTTAAAGCCCATGAAGCTGCTTGCAGCAACAGTGTAAAACAGTGTGATAGGGATTCCAAGTTCTTCAGCTGCTGTGATTGTGAACATGGACAAGAAACCGTCTGAAACTATGCAAGTCACCGGAGGAACACTACTTGCCGTCTCAATGAGTTTTACGAGGAGCTCAAGAAACAGAGCCAAGAGCAAGAAATTTCTGAACGACTCACAAAGCAAAGTGGAGTCTTGGGTGGCATCTTCATCTGATTCTGGAAGGCCGTCTGGAATGGTTTCAAATCGAAAATCAGGCAGGCCATCAAGGGAATTAGGTCCAAGGGATTTAAGAAATCGCCTGTGGTTGAACTCTGTGTTGACAAAGGTTATGTGAAAGCCTCTATGGCGGAGAAGTTTTGCTAATTTGAGCATTGCCTTTATATGGCTTTGAGCTGGCAAAGGAAGACAAACTGCATGAGGCTTATTGGAAGGGGAAGCCATCTTAGGTTTTGCGATATAATGTATGATCGTGTTGCATGACTTGCTCAAATGCAGATTATTTATAGGGTAGCTATATCTACCTTTCAACGGGGCAGGTTTACTCCTGATATATAAATAGATTAGTTTTCAACATTCCCGGTGTGCTTTTATATTAAACAATTCAAATTAAAGTTTTATTATTTTTAAAAAAGACTAAAGCTTTTAATATGCACCGAAAAACCATCCCCTTATTTTTAAACCTTAAATAAAAATTTCAGCTCTAAACTGTAAGAAAATGACGATGAATAGTACCTGTTGGAGGTGAATGATGAAGTTGAGCTTCGATGAACAGATTCCACTAGGAGAAGAAGAGAGAAGAGAGATTGAGAATTGAGCGATGAGAGAGTGAGAGCTGAGCAACGAGAGAGTGAAGAGAAAGTGAGAGACGGAGCCAAGAGAGAGCTGAGAGAGAACTAAATTTCAGAAAAAGTGTTTTTTTTTTGGGACAATAAATATATATTTATATGTGGTATTTGCAAAATTTTTGGGGAGAGGTGATATTTCCACTTAAAACTAAAAAAGGGTGGCATTTAGAGCTATTTCCTTATATTCTATTGGCTTTTCCCCTATAAAGAATAATTTTGTTTCATTATCTTTTCTTGGCCCTTCCCCAGTTCTTTCTCCAATTATTGGGCCACAAAAAGTTCAATTCTCATTCTACTTCTGATGTGAATAATAAAATGATATACTGTTTCATGGCTTAATTATTGTTTTACTCTATGAAACGAGTGCTCGGTCGTAGTTTGCCCCACAAAACTGAAAATTTCTCACTTAGGCCCCAAAATCTCTAAAAACTGCTGAAATTTTCTCACTTTACAACTTCCGTCTATTTTCGTTTGCAAAACCATTAAATGTGCTGACGTGGCAGGGGCATTTTAATAAGGCTTATTTACTGTAGCACCCCTTGAAACTTTGGGTCAAATCTCACATTACCCCCCGGAAGTTAAAATGGCCCATTTAACCCCCTTGACCGAGGTTTTGTGTTCCACTTTGCCCCATACCGTTATCTCCATTCCTAACTCCGTCAATTTTGATGACGTGGCAGGGCTATTTTAGTCTTTTTCCAAAAGTGATGATGTGTCGGGTGCTGACTCCACTTCTTTTTTCTTTTTCTTTTTTTTTTTTTTTTTTTAAAGTGGACTAAAATAATAATAATTAAAAAAAATTAATTACTTATTTAATTAAAAAAATTGAAAAATTAATATAAAAAACTTATCTTCTTCTTCATCCCTCTCTTTTCCCCAGCAACCATCGCACACCAACCCCTCCTATTCCTTACTGCCATCTCCTATATCCCTTCACCATATAAACCACCATACCCACATATCCAAATATAAAAAACTACCATCTAAATCACCATACCTATTATAGGTGGTTCACTACTAATGCAGCAATTTAAGATTGGGAAAGTTTTATGGCAGTGGTCCTTGGAAATGGTTAATGGAGAGATTGAAATATTCAAGTTGGGCTATATTGGTAAATAGATGTTTTGGTATTTGGCCAGCAAAGAAATTTCCAAGTCCAAGAACATCAAGTTTCCCACATTCATATATTAATGTTCGCCAGATCCAAAGTCGTTGTTGATGGAGGCTGTGTTTTTAGGAGTGGACTAAGGGTTTGAGTTGATGGGTTGTGCTGGGAAAGATGGGGCAGGTTCAAAATAAGGGGCTAGGG